CTCCAAGGCCAGAACCCCCAATCTCCCTTTGGTCTCTGAGGACCACGAGGACACTGCAGAACCCTGAGTACCATCCTTTCCCTTTTCATTTTTGCCCTCCCCCCTTATTCTGCACTCACCTCCCAGGGGTACTATTACCAGAAATTGCCATTCCAATTTCTAGGAGACTTACAGCAACTTGCTCAAACCACACTAACCATACAGTCCCAACTTGATTCTTTAGCTGCTGTGGTTCTACAGAATTAAAGGGGCCTTGAGCTTCTAACAGGTGAAAAAGGTGGACTTTGTCCCTCCCTACAGGAGGAATGCTATTTTTATGTCAATCAATCTGGTATAGTAAAGGACAAGGTAAAACAACCCCAACAGGACCTTGAACATCAAAAGCAACAGCTCTCCTCTACTGAAGGATGGCAGCTAAGTAACCCCCTTCTCCAGTGGGCACCTCGTTTCCTGACCCTGTTGAACCCTGATGCAAAGACCACCAAATTCAATTTTATATCAAATTAAAGCAAGTTATATTGTGTACACAAAAAAGAGCTGATCAGCAGCTGTCTCTCCCAATCCGGGCTAGAGATCAGCACCCCAGCTTTCCAGGAACATGCCTCCTGCATCATTAGATTGGTTCAAGACCAGATCCAAAAAAAATCTCTAACCAAACTGTAAACCAGCTTTTGCCACAGGGGACAGCGTTCCACCACCACTCAACCTCCATCATCTTTCCAATGACATCCCACACCCATAATGAGGGACTCAAATGCTGCCCCTTCCCAGCAGGAAGCAGTTACGGAAGACTGACCTACATCCCTGTTTCCTAAGGGCCCCAATAAAAATACAAAAAAAGGGAAGATTATAAGATCCTTGCTTAGCATCTGGAAGGCCATCGTAAGTGACAGCTACCATTTTTAGGAAAAAGTTTTGCTTTCCCACCCAAGGGCCTTTCTGAGAAGAGCTCACCACTCCCTCATACCAACCCAAACCCTAACCATGAACATTAGGACCCGCCCAGCTCTGATTCCTGAGCCTGTCCCATAGAAGTCCCGGAACCCAAGCCTGTTTTGCCTCTCTCCACTATAGAGAGATGGCCTTTATTTGCCAGCTCTGACAAACAAACTCTCATGTGTATCTCTGCCTGGTCTTCGTCTTTTATTTCTCACCCATCTCTCGTTCCTCACTTTTCCTTCATTAGGAATAATGACTGAATTGATTTGATATTGGTGAGTATTAAAAAGTAAAAATGTGCTTTGAGAATTCAGTGTCTCCCTCGACATGAAAGTGAATTTGAACATTTGCAGGAAGGGGAGTTATAGCCTTGACCTTGACAATCCTTTATGCATTTGTCCATACAGAAGAAAGGAAAACCACAACTCAATCCTTGAATAACACAGATAGTAATACTGATGCTGGCATTTAATTTCTAGCAGTGGGCATTCTAAGCACCAAGTGATGCATTTGCATTATCTTCAAAAGTGGCTCCAGAATTTCTAGGTGTAGTAGGTTCTAGATTGTAATTTGGTTGCATAGCAGGGCTGGGGGCTTGGATTGAGGTTGCAGACAGAACCACTGGTTTTTCTTAGATTATAGGTTTATTTAGTATGGCTCCAGAGAACTGACCACAATTATGTATGTGTAGTAATCAGCTCTAAAGACCCAACAGGTGACAAGTCTTCTCTTGGTTCCACCACAACTGATTTCCTTGAATCTTCAAGACAACCTTGTCAGGGAGATACTGTTACTTCCCCATTTTCTACAGGAGAAATCCAAATGCAAGGTTAATAGCTTGCCTGCAGTTACATAGGTGGAAAATGGCAGAGCCTCGTTTGAATAAAAGCTTGTCTAACACCTGGGCCCACGTCCTTTGATACAGCATTCCATTACCTGCTTCTACAAGGCTATCTGGGCCTTGGCCAAAAACTGGCAAAGGGATTTTACCTACACCCAGAGAATGGCATGAATCAAACTTCACACACAGATTTCTAGTTATTTTTAATAATATATAACCAAGAGGAAACTACTTATTGAATGTGATAAGTTACATTATATTGAAAATGACATTATTTAACAAATATGATCCACTTACTAACTCAATAGCTTTGTCTTCTGTTTTTGGAAGAGTTTTTCCATTTGCAAGTGAGAGTGATGCCTCAGGAGGCTTTACAATATATATAACAAATCAGGTATTAAAAAGCTAAAGACAGCTGGGGTTGTGGCTCAGTGGTAGAGCACTTGCCTGGCAAGTGTGAGGCCCTGGGTTCAATCTTCAGGACCACATGTAAATAAATAGGTAAATAAAAAATTTAAAAAAGATCTACTGACAACTAAAGAATATTAAAAAAAAAAAAAAAGCCAAAGACATAAAGGGATTTGTAGTTAATAAGGTAAGACAGGCTGCTTTGAAAAATGCAGCCTAGAATTCAAGGACAGAAGTAGGGCTTGTTTTTCCCAGAGGATGCCAAGGACGTTAACTGCCCCCCCACCCTGGCCCCCCGCCAGGCTCCCAGCTTAGTGAGGCAGTCTTGTCCTTTAAGATCTTGGTCCTAATTAAATCTACTTATTTAAAAAATTTAAGGAAGAGTAAAGCTATACCATAAAAGCACATAATAAAAAATATCAATTTGAAAAAGAATTTACAAAATAATATTATTATTTGAAACCCCTCTTTGGGAATAATGAACTCCAAAATTTGTGCATATATACACACCTATATATTCACAGCAAAAGCACTGAAAAGACACACACTAAAACATACCAACAATGGATTTATCTGAGCGACTGACTCTACTCTGATTTTTTTGGTGTATTTTCCGGATTTAATTTATTAATTAGAAATTAGAATAAAATGACTAAATGAAAGACATAATCACCATACCTTTTTCTTTCTTTCTTTCTTTTTTTCTTTTTGCAATACTGGGGACTGAACCCTAGGCTGCATGCATACTATACAAGTGCTGTACCACTGAGTTACGTCCCCAGGGCCCATATCTTCTTTTAAATAGTACAATATGCATTTTGGGGGACAAGATATTAACAGAAATTGAAAGGGAAAATAGGCTTACATAGAATTCCAGCCCTATGGATAGACATCTGGAGGTCTCTCAAAGGGGCACATGGGTGCCCATATGTGTGAGGGAGGCTCAAAGGAAGACAGAAATACTGATGGAGGGGAAGTGCAAGGGGGTAGTTAGAGGATGCCAAATGTTAATTTCATTATTATGGTTTCTTTTTGTCTTTTGGAAAAAGGAAGACTCTAGTTTCCTCTTACTGCTATTTTTAAAATAATCACACAAAGTAGTGACCTAAAACAACACATTTACTCTTTTTAAAAAAAAAAAAAAAAAACATTATTTTATTTATTTTTTTATGTGGTGCTGAAGATCAAACCCAGTGCCTCACACTCAGGAGCTCTACTCCTGAGCCACACCCCCAGCCCCACATTTATTCTTTTTTTTTAAGAGAGAGAGAGAGAGAGAGAATTTCAATATTTATTTATTTATTTTTTAGTTCTCGGCGGACACAACACCCCTGCTGGTATGTGGTGCTGAGGATCGAACCCGGGCCGCACGCATGCCAGGCGAGCGCGCCACCGCTTGAGCCACATCCCCAGCCCCACATTTATTCTTTTACAGTTCTGGAGGCCAGAGTTCTGCAACTGCAGAACTAAAATTGAAATGTTGGCGGCTGCATTCCCACTGAGGCTCCTGGGGAGAATCTTTTCCTTGTGATGTCCAGTTCTCCAGGCCGGCTGCATTGCTTGGTTCACGCCCCCGTTTCAGTATTGGCATCCCTCCAACCTCTGCTTCCAACCTCACATATCCACTGACTGACCCTCTTGCCTCCCTCCCTTGTGGTTACACCAGGGCCCCCAGATAATCCAGGATAATCTCCCCATCCCAAGATCCTTAATTTAATCACAGCTGCAAAGTCCCTTTTGCCATGTAAGGGAGCACATTCACAGGTTCTGGGACTAGGGTGGGACATCTTTGGGGCAGTGCATCACTCAGCCTGCAGAAGGGATCTGCTGTGTGCGGTTCCAGCACTTCTCAAGTACATTGCAAACAGAACCTTCCTGTGAAATACATGCTGGGATTTGCTTTTCAAGTTGAAGACACCTGGGGCTGGGGATGTGGCTCAAGCGGTATCGCGCTCGCCTGGCATGCGTGCGGCCCGGGTTCGATCCTCAGCACCACATATAAACAAAGATGTTATGTCTGCCGAAAATTAAAAACTAAAAAATAAAAAGTTGAAGACACCAAGCAATTTGGGATACTGCCCCAAATCCAAGAGCTGGGATGCAAACCCGGGTCCCCGAGCCCTAGCTCGAGTCTGGCCTGCCTCATGGCCTTGCCTCCATTCTTCCCTCCCATTCACCTCTACTTCCTCTTTCCAGTCTGGGCCTGTCCCACAGCTTCTTGGACAAGCTCCAGCTGTTGTTTTCCGACTTGTCATGTGCTCTTGATGACAGTGTAGTCACAGCTTGATCTTGGGGGGTGGCTGATGGAGCAAGCTGAGTGGCCGCCCTTTGGAGTCATCTCTAAGGCCTTTTTCTTGCCCTTTTCCAAAAGGATTCCTGGGGCCTACTGTGCCCGGTTCAACAGCATCAGGGAACACAGCCTTAAGCTAAAAACTACAGGACACTTTGAGTGGCACATGCTTTCTCAGACATAAGGACTATAGCATTGCAGGCAGTTAGAGAAGGAGTCCCAAACTCTGGGAACTTGTGACTTTCTCATTGATACAATTTAAACTCCAGGGAAGTGGCAAAGGCAGCAACTTGAGCTCCCTGAGTAACCATGTATTATTAACCTTTGTTTCCTAGGCCTTGGGCAAACCTGGGCTTAATAAATATTTAAAAGTTGGGAAGAAGGTGAAGACCGGCAAGCCACAGGAGCAGCGTCTCAAACACACAAAGGGTTAAAAGTCAATGCATTGACTTGCCTGCCTCTATTCTGCCTAGCAGCTGATGATGCTCAACGTTTTCCCCTGTTGTTATTGGAAGAGGACCCTGTGTCCTGCCCCTGTTGCTAAATTACTCAACACAGGCTGCAGTTTAGGTTCTCAAATAGATCAACAGGGACCCGAATCAATCGGAAAGCACAGGACTTTGCTGGGGGCTGATGGTGCTCCTGGTACCTCTAATCACTGTATTCATGGTGAAGCTCAGTCATGCCCGTGAGTACCCAAGTCTTCTGAGAGGGGAGAGGAACAACAGCCTTGCTTCCTAAAACTTGTGGTGAAAAATGAAACCAGGGGCAGAAACGTGGGTGCATTTCACCCAGGACTTGAAGGGGCAGTGGATGAGCGGAACAGTTGTCTGGCAAACGTTTTAGGGTTTTGAGGTCACCACCTTCTGAGGGGTTGGCAGCCATTCTGGAAAGACCTTCCTGGTAGCTTCCGCCTCCCTCTCCTGGGAGCTGCGTCCTTTCTTTTCTGCTCCCATCCTTGCCCTTAACTTTGCTTCTCCTCTTCTCTAACTCAGCAAATCTCACGGGGTTGCAGTCGCGTTCCAGGGGCACTGGACAGTGGACAGGACCCATTGTCCACAGGTATTGTTTTTCGTCCTCACCACAAGCCCTGCCTGTAACTAGAGATCCAAGACAGATAAAAACGGGGCTCTGGGCTTGTTTACTGGACCTAAGAAACTTTAATCCACTGATCGATAGTAGGAAGAGGTTTTCATTGTTTAGGGGGCTCGTGTCACCGGGAAGCAGAAGCCTTCTGTTGCCCCCAGTACAGGAGAGGCCCTTGGGGGACAGGAAGCACCAGCCTTCCTCTGCCCTAAGCAACCACTCTCCAGGCTGAGGGGGGTACTTCCGGGGGAGGGAGGCGGAAGGGGAGCCAGAACTCAGACGTGGCCCTACCCCAGCTAGTGACTGATGAACATGTCAGGAAGGAGCTCTTTCAAGTCATCTGTGTATGACTTCTACAAATACTGATTGATGGCCTACTGTGTGCTAGGCACGCAGTAGGATATGACAGCGAATAAGATAGACAGTCTCTGCTTCTGTGAAAATGTAACCCCGGAAATCTTGTCATTTAAGTCAGAAATGGGAAACACTGGGGATAAGGGTAAGAGGCAGAAGACAGCAAGAGGAAGGGAGAGGGGAGTTAAAGGGTAATATTTCTAGAAATTAAGAAGTTGATACATTACCTACGTCCGTGCCTCAAGGAACTCTCCAATAACATAGAACAATGTCCCTTAGACTTATTATCCACTCCAGTGTTCTCGTGTGTCCTTTTGATACTCTAAGAAAATATTCCCCATTTAAAGATAAGGGCCTGGTGCCGTGGTGCCTGCCTCCCAGCTACTTGGGAGGCTGAGGCAGAAGGACTCACAAGTTCAAGGACGACCTGGGCAACTTAGTCAAAGCGGGGAGCCGGGGGAAAGGTCTTGTTTTTTTCTGTAGGCCTGGAAGGATGGACTAAACTTACGTAGTGAGCAGTCTGAATTGTAGGCAGATCTTCTTTCAGTCCAGAGCTTTCCCAAAATACTATGGTGCCCCTGGATGTGAATACGTGGCCCTCGGGTACTTGGTGGAAAGGGAACTGAAATAAATGAGTTATGAAGGGTGGGGGAGGTCCCTTTGTGCTGCTTAGTCTCCTTTTGACTCCTTAGATTCCTTCCTTCCCTGTCCTGCTGTGTCCCCAAGGCCAATTGCTACAGACTGCATGGTCACCCGGCTCTCTTACAGATTTCGGGGTGGGGAGGGTCACCCAGTGCAAGACGCAGAGAGGAGAGACCAGAGAGTGAGAGGAAAGAGAGGGCGAGATGCGTCTTTCTCACACCTTCCCTTCTGCAACGCCTCTGGCTGCAGCCGGGTCCCTCCCCAGTTCTCACTCCCACTGGGCTGAGGTAACTCTGTTTGCTGTTCTGATTTCTTCAACTCCAGAGGTGATAATGGCTTCCCATTGCTGCTAACCTCTGGGTGCCCCAATCCTTGTTTGTTCCCTAGCCTTGTCCCTGCGTATGCAAGGTGTCCCTTCATTAAGGACCCTGGGTGGGATCTGTCTGGGGTGAAGGCCATTTCCTGCCAGGGTCCTGGCTGAACATTCCTGAGCCTTAAGTGTTATTAACAGGGAGAGACATGGGATTACGAGAGGGACTTGGTCCACCTGACATTTGTGTCTACTGCTGGCCCCGGATAAATGCTACTATACCGTGATAGACAGGAAACACAAGGAGGAGATACCACCGTGTGTGGGGTCACAACCCCAGGAAGGATCAAAATAACTCCATTATCACTTCAGTGTTACTCTTAGCAACTCCATAGCCTTCGAGTGGCCATTTCTTGCTTTATGTTTTTCTAGCTCCTGTTCCCAGTTCTATGATTTTTCTATTTCTAAATTCTCCCTTGTGAGGCTGTCCTTAAAGCAGCAAGAGAGAGCCTCACTTTTCTCTTATTCCCCTGGCCCTACCTAATGTCCAGTAGACACTTAATAAATGCTCCAGAGTGAAGTTATGTTAAAAAAAAAAAAAAAGTCTCTAAGAAATTGAAGTTATCTGACTATGAACCGTAGAGAGGTTGGGCAACAATAATGACTGCAAATTCAAACCAGTGGTTTGCTATGTTTGCAGAATTGGTATTTTAAAAAGCTATTTCAACCAGGCATGGTGGTGTACTCCTGTAATATGAGTGGTTCGGGAGGCTGAGGCAGGAGGATCTCAAGTTCAAAGCCAGCCTCAGCAAAAGCAAGGCACTAAGCTACTCAGTGAGACCGTTTCTAAATAAAATACAAAATAGGGCTGGGGATGTGGCTCAGTGGCTGAGTGCCCCTGAGCTCAATCCCCAGTACTCCCCTCCCACCAAAAAGGGTATTTCATGCTTTTAAGATTCATCTTGTTGTTCTTTTCAGCCTGTGTGAAACTGTGAACTCGTGGCAATGTGGGTGGACATAATCAGGCTGGGGACATGTACAAGATTTCTCTTGTGTAGCCATGTGGTTTGTTGTGTTCATCTTGACATAACCAACGTCGGCCTCTTGATATTACTCAAAAATTCATGGATGTATTAATCTACTATGTCCATGCATTTCATGAATGATGGAGTCCTTCAGATACGAGGACTGATAATGGAGAAGCCCCCTAAGCTGCCCACTGAGCTAGTGTCAGAAGACAGGCTTGCATATTATCTGCTTAGAAATGACCTTGAGTTCAAAGAGTTAACATGAGAAAATATGGGCATTTGCTATAGACTTTATTAGACTTCAGTCTGTTTCCATGGAGCTGTTGCCAAGGTACATGCAATAGAAATGTCTCCAAGACAATACTTCCCTCCCCTAAGGCCCTCTTCTTGGTTGAAATGGAATCTATCTAAATCTGAGAAATTTGACTAATTCACAGATTTTTCCCTTTCACTAGTTGAAATATCTATTTATTCTCACTTGACCTCAATCCTCTTATTCCAGGGGATTGTCAAGAACTAGAGGAGGGAACCCAGATGAAAGGTCAAACATACAACTCTTTAAACACTTCTCTCTTATGAAGCCTAAAGTGAGACAGATTACAACGTGCATTCTTTCTGACACCTGAATTTATATTTATTAGGGAAAACTTTTCAAGAGCATACACAACAAATCACATTTTGTTACAACTTCAATGGATCACTTAAAAAGCATAAGTTTCATAAAATTGGGATTCTTTTGGGAAATAGGAGATGTATGGTCATCATCATATCCAGAGGGTACAGAAAAAACCACAGAGCTCATTCATTTATTCTCCAAAGCTCTACGGGGCCCCACAGTGTCCCTCCAATGTGCAAAGCACACACCTTCCTCAAGGACTTGGGCTTACTGTGCCGTCTGGAAGGTTCTTCTCGCATGGCTCCCTCCTTCACTCTATGCACATATCTGCTCAGATATTACCTGCTCAGAGAGACCTCTCCTGGTCTTCTATCTAAGCTATCAACCTTCCCCACACTCTCTTGTCTGCTTTATTTTCTTTTGAGTTTTTTATCACCACCTGACCTTATATTCTATATTTGTATATTTCCAATATTCTTTGTAGAAATTAGCACAGAGGGCTGGGACTTTGATTTGTTCATTGCTGTGTCCTTAACAGCTAGACCTGGGCTTCCCAGAAATTCAGAAAATAATAAAATGATGTGCTGGTAACCTTCAAAAGAGTAGCCGCAGGCCAGGCGTGGGGGAGCACTCCTGTAACCGCAGTTCCTGGGAGGATGGAGCAGGAGGATCGTGAGTTCAAGGCCAGCCTGGGCAACTAAGTGAGACTCTGTCTCAAAATAAAAACACAGAAGAGCTGGGGGTGTCGTTCAGTAGTGATAGAGCACCGGAGGCCCTGGGTTTGCTCCCCAGTTCTAAAAAAATAAAGACCAAACCAACAACAGTAGCCTCCAAAGAGTAACTAAGAAGCCAAGCTGTCCCATTTAGCACTTACAGCATCCCATTAAATTCCTGTCATTAGACAAGTTGTTAGGAGAGGGGACTGGCAGTTCCTGCTGCACGGAGCCATCCACATGGCTGCATTACTCGAGAAGTGTCCAGAGATCCTCTTAACTAAAAATATCGCCTTCCACTTCTCCCCCTCATTCCCGCGATGCCTGGAATTCCAGCAGAGCTCCCAGGAATCATAATCATTTTGACCTTATTAAGGCATTGGTCTACTTGGGAGGGATAACAAATAAATTGAGTCAGGACTCTGGGCCACCTACAGGAAAGCCTGGAGCCTGGGCCCCAGGGACTGGGGGAGCAGAGACAGTGAGTCCTCCTTGACACCAGGAGGCGGGAGAGAGCAGTTGATGTTTCAGGGACAGAAGCCTGAAGGAGGCTGGGCTGGGGAAACACCCCTCCTCTGATGAGGGTTGGGTGGTCTAAGGTAGAGAGAGCAGATGGTGACTTCCTGTTCCTTCATTTATGGACTCTGAGGATGATCTCGGGCAATTTACTGAATCTCTCTGCACATATTTTCCATCTGTGGAATGGAGTCTTGACCTCAAAAGGTTATGGTAGAGAGTCAATGCAACCCATGCTCATGGAGGGCCTGGAATGCTACCTGACACGTGGTACTTGCTCAATAAATACATAGAGTTCTGATGGTTATGATTAAGATGCGGCTGCCCTTGGTGACTCATTGAAGGCCACCTGATCTGCCACCTCCTCCTGGGAGCATTTCCCTGTGGTCATAGGGGAGCAGGGTCTCTGCCCTCTGAGCCCTG